TGAATTCGCCCATTCCCATCCATTTTAGTTCACTGATGCCCAGGATGTCAATGTTTATTCTTGCCATCTCCTGTTTGACTGCATCCAGCTTCCCAAGGTTCATAGATCTTACATTCCAGGTTCCTCTGCAGTATTTTTCTTGAAGCATCGGACTTTCCTTTCACTTCCAGGTGCGTCCGCAGCTGAGTGTCATGTTCCTGGTGGTTGCAACAGCAGAGTCCGATAAGCCAGTCCTATGTCCGAAATTCAGAGAATGCAGAGCCGATACCCAAATACCAAAGCCAACTCACACAACGTAGTCCAGGGTCAGAGTCCAAAGCCAAAACGCACAACATAGTCCAGGGTCAGAGTCCAAAGCTAAGGGTCCAGAGAACAAGGTTCAAGATTGTCAGGAGCATGGATGCAAGCCAGAGGTTTGATTTGTTGCTTCCACGGACTTTCAGCCGGCTGAGAGCTGTTTATATAGTAAAAACAGCCCTTGAACTTCTGGAAGCCTTTTCATCCTGCCAGAACAGCTTGTCTACTGGGGGAGGAGACTCTGGAGGCGATTCATAGAGATCTTCTGACCTTCTCGTCATAAGTCTTTCCCGAAGCCTGACCCTCAGCTTGTCTACTGGGGGAGGAGACTCTGGAGGCGATTCATCTGTTTGTATTTCTAATCGCTCAGCATTCTCCTCAGCTACAGTTAACCCTTTAGGTTCCAGATCTTCGGCTGCACTCATGACACTGAGCGTCCTTTTGGCTTTGGCCCAACCACTTTTTTAGCTCTGGAACTGCTAGTACTTGTCCTCCGCTCTTCCTCAGTAGCATGTTAGATGCCTTCCGACCTGAGGGGCTCATCTTCCAGCATCATTCCTACTGCTATTTATTTGCTCATTACCATGTTAAACCAGAATTTTGCCTAGTTGGAGAACTGGGCTATCATTCTTTAAGGAGAAATTGTCATGATTACATATTTTAAGAACCCATTTTCCACATTTCTTAAGTGTGCTAGATCATTATTCCAGTGTTGCATATATGGTGCCTCTCCCTGACTACTAAGTCATTGGACTTCGTTGCTCTGCAGACCTCCTGTGTCTTCTCAGGTCTTGCAGAAACAAAATATGTTACATGGAACTATTGAATGCATACAAAAGTGATTATTTGTGCTTATTCTGTTCTATGTTATTGGACATGGATCCTCTTGGCTTAAAAACTGGTCTTCCATGAGCTCCTCCTTTGTGTGCATTTGTACACAATACTATTAAAAATAATAATAAGTGCTACTTGAAAAGATTAACAATCTCAGTCTTTTGGGTCATCTAGTGCCACTGTGCTTAAGTCATAGTATTTAGCCATCTTCCTCTTAAACATCCAAGACAAATAATTTATAGGCTTCTGAAGTCATTGGCTTCATTGTCTAACCACTCTTCTAGTTCGAAAGCATTATTTAGGTTTTATCTAACCCTCTTTTCCTGCAATTTATTACCTATCCAACAGTATGTAGTAGCTAAGAGCAATTACACTCCATCATCCTGTTTGCAATCTCCTGTTAAAAAACCTTATAGGATTGTTACATTAGAAAGAACCTGTAGGTAATCATATCAGCATCCCTTAAAAGAATAGCCCATAACCTTGAGGAAATGGAGTGCTGCAAATAGAGATCAGGAACTGCTAATGTGTGCTGTGCCTGCAGGGTGAAGATATAACTTACAAAGACAAACCTAAAACAAGCAAACTGGGCCACATGCTACAGGAAAGATAATGCCTGTTTCCCCAGCACATTCCTCTGTAATCCCAGTTTACAAAGGTCCAAATCCAGTTGTTACACACAACCAGTTAGACCCACTGAAACAATTACTGAATGGAAAGTTAACACTTAAGTCACTGCAATGATCCAATGGCAAGAATCCTATTGGTGGTCATGTGAAGTTTTCATAACTTGCGGCACCTAAATGTTGCTAATTAACAAGACTCCTTTCTATACCTAAGTTGCACAGTTACGTGCGTGACCAGGCTTGCTACCAGTCCAGCACCTTGCCAATTACAGTGGGGTCTCGACTTACGAACTTAATCCGTATTGGAAGTCAGTTCTCAGGTCGAAAAGTTCTTAAGTCGAATCTGCATTTCCCATAGGAATGCATTGAAAACCATTTAATCCGTATCTACTCTTTTCGTCCATAGAAACTAATGGGAAGCTGCTATTCCGCCTTCTACCACTAGAGGGGGATATTTTTTCTTTTTTCCTTTTAACCTAAGATGACTTAGGTTTTTTAAAAAGGGAAAAAAAGAGTTCGTAACTCGAATCTAAGTTCGTAAGTCGAGTCCATACATTCCTATGAGAGCTGTTCGTAAGTCGAAACGTTCGTATGTCGAGCCGTTCGTAAGTCGAGACCCCACTGTATCTGCAGTTAGCCATGGCAAGTTATACAAACCTTATGTGAACACTAATAGGATTCTTGCATTTACTGTAGTGTGGACTAGGAGTTGGATTTAGGCCAAAGCCTGGCTAGATTGCTGCATGAAAACCACACAGTTAGATGGCTATAAAAGCCAGTAAAGAGTCTTGTGGCAACTTAATGACTAAGAAGTGTGTTTTATCATGAGTTTTCTTCCAAGAAAATGGTTGTATTCAGATACATTCTTCTTCAGAGCTACAATCTGTGGAAGTTTACAGTAAGCAAAACTTCTCGGTCCTCAGGGTGCCACAAGAATCTTTATGCTTCTCCTAACGAGTGGCACTGTCCCTGTGGAAATAGACCACAGTGACCATTGTCGTAGTCAGTTCTGCTAGATGAAAAGTCCAGCCATACATGTCCAGCCTTGCACAAGTGGTGGGTGGATTTCACCATGGAGATCACAGTTTGTGTCAATGACAGTGCTTGAGCAAGTGGCAGGACTGATAGGATTTTCACCTCTGAAGAAACTCATTAGGATCCTATGAACTAGGACCTTAGCATATGATTTTAAACTATGGGCACTATCTTTCAACACAGCAGCTAAAAGGTAAGCACTAATAAGAAGCTAATGAAGTAGAACTTGTTTGCACAGATCTTGAATTTGGCCTTATTTGATTGAGAATGTTTTTCTCTTCATAGAAAGTAATTATCACTATTTTCATTTAAATACTTTCTTGTGATGCTAAACCAGTGATGGCAGTTTAGGATTATGGCATAATAATTTTTTATTTTACATTCGTCCAGGCTCTGAATATGCATATATCATATTGTATGGGCTTTTGGCCCCCCTGTTTCAAACACTTTATATCTGTAATCACTCAGACTCTCTCTCTCTCTCTCTGTGTGTGTGTGTAAATATGTACAGTATGTGCATATATCTGTACTTACTTAGTTCCTTTATTGACTCTATATGCAGCAACTAGATCTGGATATAATTTTGCTTTCACCTTTTAATAAAGTTGTTTTAATTATCATTACAGTCACTATTGGCTGTATATGGATCTCCCTTACTATTTTATGCAATCTAGTGTAACATTTGTGGTGTCTAAAGTACCACTATGGTGTCTAAAATGTAACCATAGCTGTTACTCAAGTTAATGTTTAAATTTCTCATTATGTTGGTTGATAGTCTGTTGCAGTGAGTTCAACTGAGATTCTTATGAAATTCTAAAGACTAAAAATGTTTTATCTAGAATAAGCTTTCATGGGTTGCAGCCTACCTGCATCTGAAGTAGTAGGTTCAATCCATAAAAGCTTATTCAAAATAAAACTTAGCCTTTAAGCTCACAGGACTTTTAGTGGGTCTTGCTGTAATAAAGTTAAGTTACAGCTATGGTGCTTGATTTTGCTTATTACTTGAAGAATGATTTAATGGTGTGTATTTTATTTCTATAGACCAAAGCAGTTGGCTTGCTTGATGCCGATGTTTATGGGCCTTCCATACCAAAAATGATGAATTTGAAAGGAAATCCAGAAGTGACGCCGAGTAAGTTGATAGATATCACACTTCATGTAAGAGGGGGAGATTTATAGAATGACAGTTTTAGAAGAAAATCTTGAGGTGCATATATTCTGGGCAGTATGAATTAAAATATGAAATGTTTTCAAGGGTTGTCTTGCAAATCACTATAGTTATTATCATGTTCAAGTAAAATTAGGTTTGTCAGCTGTAGGGCATCAAATATGAGGCTGCCATTAAAGACTGTTTGAACTGCAGTTAGTTCAGGATACCTCTGCAGTGGGGTCTTGACTTAAGAACGGCTTGAGTTAAGAACATTTTGACTTAAGAACCACTCTCATAGGAAAATATTGACTTGATTTAAGTATTTAGATTTGAGTTAAGAACTGAAAAAAAACCACGTGGGTGGCAGGTAAAGTGCAAAATTTGAACTTTCAGTTAACTGTTGACCAGTGAAAAGGGTGCCTGTCTGCTTCCTCACTCCTCCCAGCGTTTAGAGAATGGATTGGGAGACAGTCTTCAGACTGCCTGGTACTGCCTGGACTGTATTTTCCCTGCCTTCCCTGAACCTTTCTTGACCGAAGAAAAAACAGAAACAAAATATCCCCCTCTAGTGGTCGAAGGTGGAATAGCAGCTTCCCATTAGTTTCTATGGACGGAAAAGAGCAGATACGGATCAAATGGTTTTCAATGCATTCCTATGGGAAATGCAGATTTGACCTGAGAACTTTTTGACTTGAGAACCGCCTTCCAATACGGATTAAGTTCTCAAGTCAAGACCCCACTGTACTAAGTAAGCATTGGAAATCTGTCAGCACAGCTTTGGCGCACAGCTAATTCCATGAGGGCTAGCAGCATTATGGCCAGAATCCAGTTGAATATTTAGACCATCATACATCCAGATTTTGTGGCAAACTGTTGCTAGTTAAGGCATAGGTACTTGTATTTCTTATTTCATGCCAAGCCATTTTCATGAAACAAAAATGAAACCAGCAACAAAAACTGCCAACTTCTTAACTACTGCCAATTTTTTTGAAGAGATTTATGCTGGTACACTTACATGGCAGGCATGAGTAACATTATTCTACGTATATTTCCTAGCCTCAGTCCCTTTAGCTTTCCTGCAGGAGCCCAAGCAAACTACCAGAGCAGGATAAGGGAGATTGCTCTTTCCCTGTTCAGGTAACTTGTTTGGCTTCTGTGTTGCTTGTCCGAAATGGAAATGCAGCAGGCTGGGGTATAGGAACTGATAGGTCTTAGATCAGGGACAGGCATCTACAGAACATGTGAAGTCCACAGCCATATCATTTCCCCAGCCCACAGGTGTCACTCACTCAGTGATTCTTCTGAAACTAGAAGTCTTTTTTTTTTTGTGCAGAGGGATGCGTGGTAATTAAGTAGACAGTTCTACCTCCTGAGTGCCTCTGGAGGAAAGCATCTTAATCAGTAAAAATAAAGACATTTGAGCAACAAGAAGTAGCTTGGATGGGGCCATGGGCCACATAATTCTCATCTCATCCCAGATCCATGCTAAGCATATGGTCACACTAATTCAGAGGGGAAAGTAGACTGTTATGTTCCCTTCCTTCCTTGGTGGGCTGTGCCTCCTGTTCCCTCTTGAACTGCTCTGCAATTCATATTTTAAGGTGAATGCCAGTAAATAGGAGCTTATGGCACATGCACAAGTTCCTTATGATTGAGAACCCTGAGTGTGCATACTGTGCATACCATAGGCTGTTTCGTATAGCTATTTTGCCTTTTTATTAATGGGAATGGTAGAGGTGGGGTAGTAGGAGCAGCCCTTTCATTCCTGTCCATGTACTTACCCAATTTTGTGTTAGGAACAAGAAGGAGTCATTTTAAAAGCAACTTTTATTTCATTTATTTTTGTGGATCATGAAGGTTGCCATAGGTCAGTGGATTGGAGCAGCTGGCTGAGAAGCCTGGGACTGGGAGTTTGAATCCCCACTCTGCCTGTTGGGAGGGAGCTAGGTCAGATCACCTGGAATGTGTGTGGCTGATGGGGATATGTGCCTTGCTGCCTGTGTGTCCTTGGGCAAGCTATACAGACCCAGAGCAGTTCCAAAAAGACAGATTGGTAAATCATTTCTGTGGACTTTATACCCAGGAAACCCTAGGAGAATTGCCATAAGTCAGAATTGACTTGACATTGCGTTCTTATTATAAGAAGGAACAGCAGACAGAGATAATATCAAATGATTTTATACCAGAACGTGCAGGTATGACTAGAGTTAATCACACTACTGGAACTTGGTCACACAATAACAGGCTTCTATAGTGAGCAACCAACCCATAAAGCCAAATTATGAAACTATCCATATCAGTGTACAGTACCAAGTTTCCTATTTGCCCAAGCAGTGTGATGGATGCAGCGGTCAGAATAAAGATGGTTAACCATTCCTGAACTTAAAGTAAAAAATTCTTGTGTCCATGTATGTCCTAAACCTCTGTATGAGATGTTCCTACATTAATATAAAGTTAATCTTGATGTAAAACCTTGGTTAGTGGAGAAATCTGAGAATCTAATCACATGCTAATAGGAGTAGGCTGCATGTTGAAGCCAACTTAAAATCTTGTTTATATTTAATATTTTGGCTTTCTCCTAGTATGAAAATGTTTTGACATTAAGTTCAAGAATGGATAATCATCTTTATTATGATGCCAGCTTACAACATTCTTTAAAAATAAACATGGCTAAACACACTTAGCTGGAATATTGAAGTTCAAATGTATTAGGAAATATTGTTAAATATTTATGCATGCAGAACTCTACCTGTGGAAGTTGACAGAGCAGAGTACACACAATTCGATGCACAGTCGTGTGTAACTCGTATCTTGTCAGATCACTTCAACAGCTTCTGTAGTTGAAGCTTTGCACACACAAATATCAAATAAGATATGAGTTATTGTTATATTAAAACTAGCTCTGAGTTAGAACCACTATCCACATGGATACTGGGGTACAGTACCGCCATACTTCCTGCCACTATTTTATTTGGTATATCTGATAATATTTGGTTCAGGTTCTGATCTTGCTAAGATTTTAGAGTACGTACTTCCAGAATCTATACAATGTACAATCTTAGTTTTTCTGTCCCTGGTTATGCTCTGTACGTTGGCAAAGGGCTGGGTACAGTCACATGATAACCTACCATGTCCAGTACAGTAACAGCCAGAAATGGTTATCCACATCTGTTTGATGCAGATGAAAGTAAAATAAAGCTCTAAGTGTAGCTCACCGGATGGTTGTTGCCAAGATACAGATTTCTTTCCATGTTTGACACTTGTGTAGATGTGCAGGGGCTTATGATCTCTGTCAGGACTGGAAAGAAGATTAAACGGGCCTATATGCCCATTAAGGAAAGAGGAAAGCAGACAATTTAAGCAACTTCAATTATCGCCCAGTTTTCAGAATCCAGCAACACCCCTCCCTTGGTTCTGAGACATCTCTTACCCTCTGATTTGGCATTCAAGAAAAGGAAACACCTGTGCAAAGTGCCAGCCCATGCTTCTTGAAATCCCATTTTCAGCTCCTTCCACATGTGGCAGTACATGCTGCAGGGAAGGGTGGCAGTGGCAAGGGAGTAGCTTATTCTCCATGCTAGGATCTTGCCACCTGAGGCAACTGTCTCAGTGAAGCTAATGATAAGGCTGGCTCTGGTTGTACTTCCTGCTACCCTGGGACAATAAAGTGACTCTTATTGGCCTTATTTGATAAGATAGTAAGAATAGTGGGAAGAACAGAGTGAGCCCTCACAGCCCCAGCAGCCTTGGCCAGGTTCCTGCCTTCCATCCTTGTATCCTCACAGTCAGTAGGCAACGAATAAAACTTAACAGAGTTTCTTGGAACATGGATTGGGGAGAAAGATAACGAACGATTGTATGCAGAATCAGGACTCCAAGTTTCCTGCACAAGTCCTGCATTTTCTATGAGTCTGCCACTCCCTGGTTTTATTCACCGAGAAGGCCAAAGTCTCTCAGGATGACTCAGTTCCCTTCACTCAGCGTCCAGTTCAATCAACTAGTCCAGTCTGCACTCGAAGCTTTTTCTTTCTCAGGTATACCCTGGAGCAAGGAGCAGTATGCATAGACTGAGGGCAGGTGTGCTGGAGCCTTCTTTCCAGTGTCACTAGTCTCCTTGCCTCTTGATATGGGTGAGATCACCAACGCCTATCCAGGGAGGAGGTAATGATACCTTCCTTTCTTTGCCTCCTCTTTTCTTTCCTATCCCTTTCACCCAATTAAGAGAGCCATAGAGTGGTCTGTATTCATATTTGGAGGCCTCTTCTCTCGGCACCTCAAACTGGGACCAGCCCCCGCCTCCCTGCCAGGGATCCTCCATATAAACATAGTCCCACTCAACAAGGACTACTACTTCAGGAGACTCCTCAGCTATTCTTCCCAAGCATCCCCCACTCCCAGTCTTTGTCTCCTGAGGCTTTTTTCTTACCCTGGCCTTTCTGCCACCTGGGTTTCCTGGGGTTGGTTTTCAGTCTTTCAGGTAGGAAAGTAGATTGTCCCCTGTAATTTCCTTCAGTGTCTTCAGTTTCCTTCTCCTCCAGCACAAGAGGTATCTGCCTCTCCTTCTGACATGGAGTATCTACCATATTTTTCTGTTTATAAGACGACCCCCCCTTTTCTAACTCCCAATTTGAAAATTTGATTTCTTCTTTCACTGCAACTTCCTAAACCCGGGGCTTGGCAAAAGGAAGGGAAAAGCAGGGATCAGAGGGCTGCAGGATCACTGAGCCCGCAACCAGCGGTGGAGGCAGCAGCAGCAGAAGACGGAGACTGAGGCAAAGAAGCAATCACTGAGCCCGCAACCAGCAGTGGAGGCAGCAGCAGCAGACGGAGACGGAGGCAAAGAAGCAGCCGCGATGGGCCGCCTCTCGTGGTAGCCCATTGACTGCTGCCGCCGCAGCTGCCCAATCACAAGGAGACTATCGCTGGAGGGGGCAATTGGGCAGCGGCGGCAGCAGTCAGTGGGCAGCTGCGAGAGGCGGCCC